ATATTTTAATTTTAAAAGTCAAAACATTGGAAAATTGAAAAATCCCGTAACTGATATGTCGGAAAATGGAGTAACTGAAATATTCATAACCGGGAAAATTAAAAATAGAAAAATCGGGAAATAAAAACATCAAAAAATCGTAAAATCGAAGAATTGAAAAATCGAAAAATATAAAATTTTTAAAATCGAAAAATTGCAAAATCTCGAAAAATTGGGAAATCGAAAAATTGGAAAATTGGGAAATAGGAAAACCGAAACATCGACAAATTTAAAAAAACACCGGCAGGTCGAAGCATGAAAAGATCGAGAAGTCGAGAAGTCGTAAAATCGAAATTTGCTAAGTCGAAAAATTCAAAATTGTAAACTTTGAAATTAAAAAAAAAGGTTAAATCGATAAATTGAAATTTTGAAAAATCGAAAAATTGGAAAATCAAAAACCCAAAAAATTCCCGAGAATTGAAAAACTGAAAAAAAATCGAACAATCGATTCATCGGGAAACCGAAAAATCGAAGATTTAGAAACGCCAAAAATTGAAAAATTGACAAATTTAAGAATAAAAAATTGAAAATCTCAACTGAAATATCAAAAAATTGAGTAATTGAAATATTGAAAACAGAGAAATTGGTAAAAATTCAAAAATCGAACAATTGAAGAACCGCAAAATGTAAAATTAAAAAATCGAAAGGAAAAACAAGAAAAACGAAAGAAAAAATGTTAAAAATCAATGCAAATATAGAATTTTAAAAATTGAAAAATTGCAAAATTTCAAACTGAAACATCGACAAATTTAAAAAACACCGAGAGACCGAAACATGAAAAGATCGAGAAATTGAAAAATCGGGAAGTCGAAAAGTCGGAAAATCGAAATGGCCCAAAATCGAAAAATTACGAATTTTAGAAATCAATAAATAGAAAAATCGAAACATTAAATTTCGATGATTCAAGAAATTGAAATCCGGAAATTGTAATAATAGGGCAAAAATCGAAAATTTAAAAATTCGATATATTAAAAATAAACCGAAAAATCGAAAAACTGAATAATTTCGAAACTGAAATATCGAAAAATGCCCGAGGAATCAACAATTAAAAATATAGAAACGCCAAAAATTGAAAAATCTAAAAATTTAAGAATCGAAAAATAAAAAAATATCGATATACTGAAAAATAGGAAAATCGAAGAACTGATACAGAAAATTAAAAATATCGGGAAATGGAAACATCAAAAAATCGTAAACTCGAAAAATTGAAGAACCGAAAAATGTAAAATTTAAAAAATCGAAAAACTGAAAAACAAGAAAAACCAGAGAAAAAATTTCAAAAATCAAAAATTACAAAATGTCAAAACTGCAATGTCGAAAAATTGGGAAATCGAAAAACTTAAAAAAACACTGAGAGAGATGGAAACATGAAAAGATTGACAAATCGAAAAGTCGATAAGTCAAATAAACGAAAAATCGAAATATCCCGGGATCGAAAAATTCAAAACTGAAAATTTTTAATTTAAAAAAAAATCGGAAAATCGAAAAATCCAAACATCCAAAAATTGAAAAACATCGAGTGATCGAAACATGAAAAGATCGAGAAATTAATAAGTCGGAAACTCGAACTGGCTCTAAGCAAAAATTCAAAATTGAAAACTTTGGAATTAAAAAAAGAAGTTAAATCGAAAAATCGGGAAATTGAACAATCGGGAAGTCGTAAAGTTCGAAAAATTTAAATTTTCAAAAATTTAAAAATTAAAAAATCAAAAACCCGAAAAAATGGAGAATTGAAAGACTGAAAAATCGATTAATCAGGAAACCAAAAAATCGAAAATTTAGAAACGACAAAAATAGAAAAATCGAGAAATTGAAAAATAAGAAAATCGAAAAATTGAAGAATCGGAAAATCTCAAATTGAAAAAATCGAAAAATTGCAAAACCTTCGAAAATTTGAAAAATCGAAACATTGCTAGATAGAAACGTGAAAAGATCAAGAAATCGAAAAGTCAAAAAAACAAAGAATCGAAATGTCCCAGAATGGAAAAATTTTAAATTAAAGAATAAACAACACATCGAAAAATCAAAATTTCGATAAATGGAGAAATCGAAAAATTGGAAAATCCAAACATCCAACAATTGAAAAAACACCGCGTAATCGAAACTTGAAAAGATGGAGAAATCGAAAAGTCGAAAAATTGAAAAATCGAAGAAAAAAAGTAAAAATTGAAAATTTTGAAATTTAAAAAATCGTTAAATCCAAATATCGAGGAATTAAACAACTGGGAAATCGTAAAAATCGAAAAATTGAAATATCAAAAACCCGAAAAATTTCCGAGAATTAAAAAACTGAAAAATCGAACATTTAGAAAACGCCAAAAATTAAAGAATCGAAAAATTGAGTAATTAAAGTACTGAAAACCGGGAAATCGAAAAATAGAAAAATCGAGAAATAAAAAACAGGAAAATCGAAAAATTGATACAGAAAATTCAAAATCGGGACATGAAAACATAAAAAAATTGTAAAATCGAAAAATTGAAAAATAATAAAAACGTGGCTCAAAATAAAAAAATTAACAATTTTAAAAATCGAAAAATCAGGGCATTAAACAATCGAAAAATCGAAACATCAAAATTTCGACGCGAGAAATCGAAAAATTGAAAAGCCTCAAAGCCGAAAATATCGAAAAATTGAGCAATTGAAATATCGAAAACCGTAAAATTAGAAAGATAGAAAAATCGAGAAAATGAAAAATAGGAAAATCAAAAAATTGATATAGAAAATTAAAAACTCGGGAAATGGAAACATCAAAAAATCGTAAAATCGAAATGAAAAACTAAAATGTCGAATGTTTAGAAAACGCCAAAAATCTCAAAACTGAAATATCGAAAAATTGACTAATTTAAATACTGAAAACCGGAAAATTGAAAAATTGAAAAATCGAATATTTAGAAAACGCTAAAAATTGAAAAATCGAAAAATTGAAATATCGAAAAATTGAGTAACTGAAGTACTAAAAACCGAAAAATTGAAAAATAGAAAAATCGGGAGAGTAAAAATAGGAAAATCGAAAGATTGATTCAGAAAATTCAAAATCGGGACATGGAAATATCAAAAAATTGTAAAATCGAAAAATTGAAACATAATAAAACGAGAAATCGAAACATTTTAATTTTATAAAACGGAAAGTTGCGAAATCTCAAAAGTGAATCGTCAAAAAATTGGAAAATCGGAAAATCGAAACATCGACAAATTTTGAAAACATTGAAAAATCGAAAAATCGGGGAGTCGAAAAACCAAAAAATCCAAATGGCTCAAAATAAAAAATTAACAATTTTAAAAATCGAAAAATCGGGGCATTAAACAATCGAAAAATCGAAACATCAAAATTTCGGTAACGCCAGAAATCGAAAAATTGGAAAGCCTCAAAACTGAAAATATCGAAAAATTGAGCAATTGAAATATCGAAAACCGGAAAATTAAAAAGATAGAAAAATCGAGAAAATGAAAAATAGGGAAATCAAAAAATTGATATAGAAAATTAAAATCTCGGGAAATGGAAACATCAAAAAATCGTAAAATCGAAAAGTGTCAAATTTAAAAATGCAAAAACTAAATGCAAGAAAAGCGAGAAATCGAAACATTTTAATTTTAAAAATCAAAAAATTTAAAAAAGAAATCGAAAGGTCAAAAAAACAAAAAATTGAAATGAAAAACTGAAAAATCGAATATTTAGGAGACGTCAAAAACTGAAAAATCTAAAAATTAAGAATCGAAAAATTTAAAAATCTCAAAACTGAAATATCGAAAAATTGAGTAATTGAAGTACTGAAAACCGGCAAATTGAAAAATTGAAAAATCGAATAGTTAGAAAACGCTAAAAATTGAAAAATCGAAAAATTTAAGAATCGAAAAATTAAATAACTGAAGTACTGAAAACCAGAAAATTGAAAGATAGAAAAATCGGGAAAGTAAAAATAGGAAAATCGAAAAATTGACTCAGAAAACTTAAAATCGGGACATGGAAATATCAGAAAATTGTAAAATTGTCAAATTGAAAAATAAAGAAAACGAGAAATTTTGTAGTGCCTAAAAAAGGTGAATCCTAAAAATAATAGAACCCAGGTGTATAAGTAATTATAAAAATATAAAATTTTGCTTATTTTAGATTTATCATGCTTACCTGAAAACGTTGGAAATTTCAGAGTATTCCTTTTTGCGGTTTCAAAGTTGAATTGCAAAATGTCATAAAATTTTGATTTTTTTCCAATAATTTGGTTGTCTCGGGTAAAAGCTCAACACGGGTTCATAAACCACAATTGTTGATAGGGATGATTAGATAAAGTTGGGTTAGCGTTTTACCATCTACATGATATTCCTAATACGCATACAAGAAACGAAAGGCCACGTCGAGAAAACATGAAAGTAGCAAACCCTTCGAAGTCAGAAGTAAAAATTAGATTACTTTATGGAGGACTTGCGCTTGTACGCGATTGGACGCGACAAGGTACACACGCTGACGCATTAGTGTATTAAAGTACAAGAAAAAACTTTTGTTGGCCAGTGTTATACGATATGTATGAGCCAGTTGCCATTTCACATCGCGTTTCTCCATTGTGTAGTTCCATTGTGTGTACTCCAGAAACCAGAAAAAGCCCCAATCCAATGCGTTTGTCAATATTCACACGCATCGGGCCGTCACCTGATTTATTAATACCCCCGTTCGAAATTTCACCCGTAATATATATCTCCGCTCGTTAGACTTGAAGGTTGCCTAATCCCTCCTCCGCTTCCATTTACATTTTAATTGAAAAATTATACCCACAAAATTAACCAACAAACAATTAATGCAGTTTCCTGCACGCGGCAGCAACAATTTGTACTTTCCGTGCGGCTTTTTCGACTTCGACTCGCCCGAAGAAACCGAATAAGAAATAATTAAGCACCTCTGCCACCGCCACCGAAGAATCGACAAATCGCAGCAATCCGTCAAGCAATTAATAATGTCCTTTGTCCGCAGACTTCTGGGCTTCCGAAGGGCCATGCCGGTCACTGGCCGTTTGCTCAACATGACCACTGAACTGTACCAGAAGGCCGAGGGCGATTTACTCAAGACGTTCTTCGTGTCGCCGTCCGATAACCTCTGCTTTCACGGCAAATGTACCTATTATTGTGATACTTCGCACGCCATCTGCGGAACTCCCGACAGTTTGGAAGGAAGCTTTGCCGCCTTCCTGCCATCCAACGAGATCGCCGCCAGGAAGGTAAAGCTAAAACGGAGGTTTAGCGGTGCGGGGACGGTTTTTAATTGTGTTAGGTGCTGGTGGAGGAAGGGAGTTTACGGAATGTTGGAAAGTTTTGTTTTTTAAGGGATTTATTTGGTTAAAGTCATATCAGTTCTATCCATTTTTATGTAGATGATATCGTCGTAAGATCAGGATAGATCAGGCTAGGCTAAGATAGGGGAAAATGCTACGTCATCAAGAAAACTTAAGTTAAGTGAGTGCAACTCAAATTAAACCTGTTCAAATCAGGCTGGATTAAGTCAAATCTGATCAGGTCAGATCAGGCAAGCCTACGTCAGATATAGTCAAGTCAGGTCTAGTCAAATCAGGTCTAAGCGAGTCAAATCTAGTCTATTCAAGTCAGGTTTAATTAAGTCAGGTCTAAGCAAATTAGATCTAGGCAAATTTAGTCAAGTCAGATCTACTCAAGTCAGGTCTAGCCAAGTTACGCCTAATCAAATCAGGTGTGGTCAAGTCAAGTCTAGTTTAGTCAAATCAGATCTAGCTAGGCAGGTTTAAAGAAATTACGTCAAGTCAGATCTACTCAAATCAGGTCTACTCAAGTCAGGTCTACTCAAGTCAGGCTTATTCAAGTCAGGCCTAATCAAGTTACGCCTAATCAAGTCAGGTCTAGTCTAGTCAAGTCAGATGTAGCTAAGTCAGGTTTAATCAATTCTGGTCAAGTCAGGCTTAATCAAGTCAGGCCTAGTTAAGTCAGCTCAAATCAAATCATCTTAGCTCAGGTCACTGCAATTTCAATCAGTTAATATCATTTCTTATTTATCAAATTAGACTAGGTTAGGTCAGTTAAGTTTAGGTCAAGCCAGGCTAGGTGAAATCAGGCCATATTGGGCTGGGGTAGATCAACTCAATGGAAACCATGTCAGGCGAGGTCAAGTCGGATCAGATCGATTCAGATTAGGTTAGGTATGATTAGCTCAGATCAAGCGAGTTATATCAGGCCCAGTCATGAAGATAAGTCAGGTCAGACTATGCCACGTCAAGTCAAACCGGGTCAGTTCAAGTCAGCCCAACTCAAAATAAATGAAGCTAGGTCAAGTCAAATTAGATCAGGCTATATCAGGTCTAGGCACATCAGTGTAGTCAAGTCAGATCTTTTTAAGTGAAATATAATCAAGTCACTACCATTTTTAATCACTTTAAATTAGTAAATATCATTTCCTATTTATCAAGTCAAATTAGGTTAGGGCAGGTCAGGTGTAGTCATCTCAAGTCAAGTCAGGTCAGATCATTTAATCAGGTCCGGTCAGATTAGAATGAATTACGCTAGGCTAGATCAAGTCTCTACCAAGCCTGGGTATGAAATCAGAGACAACTCAATTCAAATATGTTAAGTCAGGTCAATTCAAGTCGGATCAGATCAGGTTAAGTCTAGTTAGCTCAGCAGGCTAGGTTAAGTCAGCTCAGGTCAGGCCTAGCCAGACTCGGTGAAATCAAGCCAAGTCATTAAGATAATCCAGGTCAGACTAAGTCAAGTCAAATCAGACCAGGTCACTTCAGGTCAGCCCTACTCAAATTGGACTAATTTAGTCAGGCTAGGTCAAATCAAATTAAATTCGGCTAGGCTAGGTCAAATCAAGCTAGGCTACGTCTAGTCTATTTAGGTTTCAATTTATCAAATCAGATCAAGCTAAGCTGTCAGTTCAAGTGAGATGAATTCAAGTCACTAAAGTTTTAATCATTTCAAATCAATTAGTACCACTTCTTATTTATCAAGTCGGTCTAGGCGTGGTAGTCAATTCAAGTCAGATCAGATCAGATCAGATCAGATCAATTCAGATTAGGCTAGGTCTAATCAGGTCAAACTAAGCTAAACCAGGTCAGGTCTAGCTAAGCCAGACTAGGAGAAATCACGGAAGGTCAGACAAGACAACTTGTTTCAGACTATCTCAGTCAATTAAAATCAGACCAACTCAAATCAGGCCAGATCAAATCAGATCTGGTTAGGTCAAGTCAACTGGATCATGTCAGATCACTGCCATGTTTAACCATTTTAAATCAGTTAATTAATTTATTTAGGCTAGGTTAGGTTAAATAACACCAGGCTATGTCAAACTTTTGGAAAATTGGAAAATCGAAAAATCGAAACATCGACAAATTTAAAAAACACGAAAGGATCTAGAAATTGAAAAATCGACACTGCCCAAAATAGAAAAATGTTAAATTTTAGAAATCAATAAAACGAAAAATCGGAGAATTGTACAATTGAAAAACCGAAACATCAAAATTTCGATGACTCGAGAAATTGAAAATTTGAAAAATCCGGAAAACGTAATAAAAGTCCAAAAATCGAAAATTTAAAAATTCGAAATACTAGTAAAAATTAACCCGAAAAATCGAAAAATTGAATAATTGGTAATTGAAAATCGATAATTGAAAAACAGAAAAATCGAAAAATTAAAAGTTGAAAAATCCCAAAAATAAATTGAGAAATCGAAAATTGAAAAATCGAAAAATCGAAAAAACATTCTAATATTTACAATTTTGATTTTTTTTCCCCAAAATCTCAGTCGAGAATTCGAAAAACCGAAAAATCAAAAAATGAAAAATTTTAAAAAACAATACATCGAAAAATCGAGGAATTGAACAACTGAAAAAGTTTAAAATCCAGAAATCGTAAAAGTCTAAAAATTAAAAAATTTAAAAAATCAAAAAATTAAAAAATCAAAAACCTGAAAAATTGTAAAATAGAAAAATCGAAAAACTGTAAAATAGAAAAATCGAAAAATTGTAAAATCGAGAACTCGAAAAATTGAAGAATCAAAAAGTGAAAAATCCGAAAATTGAATTATCAATAAATTAAAAAATCGAAAACTGAAAAATCGAGAAATCGAAAAAACATTGTAACATTTACAATTTTGATTTTTTTTTTCAAAAAATTTCAGTCGAGAATTCGAAAAACCAAAAAATAGAAAAATGAAAAATTTTAAAAAGCAATAAATCGAAAAATCGAGGAATTGAACAACTGAAAAAGTTTAAAATCCAGAAATCGTAAAAGTCTAAAAATCAAAAAATTTTAAAAATACAAAAATTAAAAATTCGAAATATTAAAAATCAACCCGAAAAATCGAAAAATTGAATAATTGATAATTGAAAATCGATAATTGAAAAAATAGAAAAATCGAAAAATTGTAAAATCGAGAAATCGAAAAATTGAAAAAATAAAAATTGAAAAATCCCAAAACTGAAATGTCAATAAATTGAGAAATCGAAAATTGAACAACCGAGAAATCGAAAAAACATCTAATATTTACAATTTTGATTTTTTTCCCCCAAAAATCTCAGTCGAGGATTCGAAAAACCGAAAAATCGAAAAATGAAAAATTTTAAAAATCAATAAATCGAAAAATCGAGGAATTGAACAACTGAAAAAGTTTAAGTAAGTAAGTAAGTAAGTAAGTAAGTAAGTAAGTAAGTAAGTATTTATTAATGACCATTAGGGTACATAAGTCAAGTCAGATGAAGTTACAATATAAAGAGTTTAAAATTATACAATTTACAAGATAATTCAAATCGACTGGTAAAAACTACACAGGACATCGCTACAATTTAAAAATTCATCGAGAGAGTAAAATGCGTTTTTTAATAAAAAATTTCTTATAGTACGGCTAAATTGCGAAAAAGGTAAGTTAGCAATACGTTTCGGTAATTTATTGAATAATTTGGGCCCATAATAATTGATGGCATTTCTACTTCTACCTATACGATAGAATTCGGTGTGAATGCTATGGGTAGATCTCGTGATTAATGACATATTTGTGGGATTTTTATAGATGGTGAGATTAGACTTCACATATAATAAAGCATATAAAATATAAAGACAGGGCACGGTGAGAATACTTTTTTCTTTAAAATAATTTTTAACACAAGCTCTGTAAGATAGACCTCCAATAATTCGAACTACTCGGCGCTGCAATTTAAAAACAGTTTTTAAATGACTGCTGTGGCCCCAGGTTATAATGGCATAGCTAAAAATACTTTGAAATAAAGAGTAGTATATCATCATAAGGATCTGCTCACTAACCTCATATTGCAAATTCCTAATAAGAAAAGTTGATTTGGACAATTTTTTACAGATATCAATGACGTGATTATCCCAGCATAATTTCGGGTCCAGTGTCACACCAAGAAATTTGACACACCTCGGATTGTCAATCTCAGAAATGTAACGAAGGGAAAACACCATTTTTTGAGTTTTCAGTACATTAAGCGTTAATCTGTTTGAAGTAAACCATTCACTAGCAGCATTAATATCTTGTTCCATCCTGTCCAAGAGAGACGGGATGTCTGAGTCCACACTATAGCAAGTAGTGTCATCCGCAAAAAGTATGATTTTATTGTCTAGATGTTTAGCCAAGTCGTTAATGTATAACAAAAAGAGCAACGGACCTAAAATCGAGCCTTGTGGCACTCCTATGTTAACTATTGTCATTTCGGAGTATACATTATTAAACAGAACAACCTGCTGGCGATTGTGGAGAAAACTAAAAATAAGCTGTAAGGCTCCATTTGACAATCCGTACAACTCAAGCTTGTTTATTAGAATGTTGTGATTAATACTATCGAAAGCTTTTGATAGATCACAAAATGTGCATCCTAAGAATTGTTTTGTTTCGAAACAGGTAATGACCTCATCAACAAGCCTATTAATAGCCATGGTTGTACTTTTGCCATGTTGGAAACCAAATTGGCGTTGGTTCAATATATTTTGTTTAGTAACGTATTCCTCAAGTTGTTTAAGCATAATCTTTTCTAAAATTTTCCCAAAAATAGGCGTTATAGAGATTGGTCTATATTTATCAACATCATCTACGTTGCCCTTTTTGTGGATAGGGATTACTTTGGTCACCTTGAGACAGGATGGGAAAAGATTTTCATTAATACACCGATTGATCAATCTTGTGAGTGGAACTAGAATGAGATTCTTAATATTCCTAACAATGGTGATACTTATGTTGTAGTAGTCCTTACTTTTCTTTTTTTTGATGGAATCAATTGTATCTCTTACTTCATTAAATGTTATCTCTCTGAAATTGAAAACAGAGTTCACCGGAGTCAAATTTTTGTGCATTAGCTGAATTGGATCCGTATTTGATAATTTTAAATTATTCTCCAAATTATGTGGGATATCACCAAAAAATGTAGAGAAGTCCTCCGCAGTCAGTTTTTCTGAATAATTATTGCTACTAGCTAATCGTTTGCTATTAATTAATTTCCAGCTGTCCTTTGCTACATTAGTAGAATTTTTAATTAGGTTGTCATTAAAGGTTTTTTTTCTTTTCTTAACTTCGGTTCTAAACAATTCTCTATATTTTTGAAAATAGGTCACAAAAGTTGGGTCATTAGGATTTTGATTGTGTAATTCGTGTAGCAGGTCTACATTTTGTTTCATTTTATGTAATTTCTCATCATACCAGTAAATATCATCCTTTTTAACATTTTTTATTCTTTTTACTTTTATAGGAAAGGCCATGTTTACTTTATCAGAAATTAATTTGGTGAATAAGTTAAATTTGGTATTTGTATCAAGTCCAGCATCATTGATAAAATCAAAATTGCAATCACTAATAATATTAAAAAAATTAAAGAATCCTACTTCCGTAAAAGGTTGATATGATACAACTTTCGAGCAGTCTTTTGACTTATGACGATTATGTGGAATTTCTACAGTAGCAGCACGATGGTCAGATAAATGAGTCTCCATGACCTGGTGCCTACAATCATGTGCGATATTTGTAAGTATATTATCAATACACGAATTTGCTCGCGTGTTCTCAAAGATTAGAGGTCTCAAATTATAAGATTTTAAAAAGTTAAGGAACTCTAGAGTCTGTTTGGTTTTGCGGTCAAAATGTATGTTAAAGTCTCCATTAATAATAACATCTGAATCGATTATATTGATAAAATTAAATAAATTAGTCAAATTAGAGTATAAAACTTCCAGATTGCCTTTTGGTGCTCTGTATACAGTTATTATGATTAGTTTGGGTTTATTAACTTTAATGGCTGCAAGCTCAATGTCAATTACATTACAAAACTTTGAAACATCAATAACTTGGTATTTAATTTTATCGTTTACTAGTATCACAACACCGCCATAACCTTTATCTTTCCTGGTATAGGCAGAGGCTATCTTAAAACTACCCAATTTTAATAAATCCAACTCATAGTTTGTTAACCAATGTTCTGTAAAACATAAAACATCATAAGATTCTTTAATGTTATGTAAAACTACCTCTACTTCATCAACTTTTTTCCTAATCGATTGTACATTTAAATGGAAAATTGAAAAATAGCTATCACTAACTACCGCTTTACTCGTTAATTTTTTTAAAATGAAAAAACTTGCGAACACATGCTCCTACAGGCCAGATGTTGGGGTCCAGGGCTTTTCCGAAATTGTCAGCATATACAGACAGCTTGAAAGATGAATATTCGCCTTTGTGTTTAGCTTCCAGTTCCTCGCATTTTGCTTCGGGAAAATGAGATTTAACAAACTCCAATTAAAATCCAGAAATCGTAAAAGTGTAAAAATGAAAAAATTTAAAAAATCGAAAAATTAAAAAATCATTAACCCCGAAAAATTGTAAAATAGAAAAATCGAAAAATTGTAAAATCGAGAAATCGAAAAATTGAAGAATCAAGAACTGAAAAATCCGAAAACTGAATTATCAATAAATTGAAAAATCGAAAGCTGAAAAATCAAGAAATCGAAAAAACATTCTAATATTTACAATTTTGATTTTTTTTTTCAAAAAATCTCAGTCGAGAATTCGAAAAACCGAAAAATCGAAAAATGAGAAATTTTGAAAATCAATAAATCGAAAAATCGAGGAATTGAATAACTGAAAAAGTTTAATATCCAGAAATCGTAAAAGTCTAAAAATCAAAAAATTTACAAAATCGAAAAATTAAAAAATCAAAAACCCCCGAAAAATTGTAAAATAGAAAAATCGGAAAATTGTAAAATAGAAAAATCCAAAAATTGTAAAATAGAAAAATCGAAAAATTGTAAAATCGAGAAATCGAAAAATTGAAGAATCAAAAACTGAAAAATCCGAAAACTGAATTATCAATAAATTGAAAAATCGAAACTGAAAAATCGAGAAATCGAAAAAACATTGTAACATTTACAATTTTGATTTTTTTTTTCAAAAAATTTCAGTCGAGAATTCGAAAAACCAAAAAATCTAAAAATGAAAAATTTTAAAAATCAATAAATCGAAAAATCGAGGAATTGAACAACTGAAAAAGTTTAAAATCCAGAAATCGTAAAAGTCTAAAAATCAAAAAATTTTGAAAATCCAAAAATTAAAAATTCGAAATATTAAAAATCAACCCGAAAAATCGAAAAATTGAATAATTGATATCTGAAAATCGATAATTGAAAAATAGAAAAATCGAAAAATTGTAAAATCGCGAAATCGAGAAATCTAAAAATTAAAAGTTGAAAAATCCCAAAACTGAAATGTCATTAAATTGAGAAATCGAAAGTTGAAAAATCGAGAAATCGAAAAAACAATTTTGCTTTTTTTTCCCCAAAAATCTCAGTCGAAAATTCGAAAAACCGAAAAATCGAAAAATGAAAGATTTTAAAAATCAATAAATCGAAAAATCGACGAATTGAACAACTGAAAAAGTTTAAAACCCAGAAATCGTAAAAGTCTAAAAATAAAAAAAATTACAAAATCGAAAAATTAAAAAATCAAAAATCCCGAAAAATTGTAAAATAGAAAAATCGAAAAATTGTAAAATAAAAAAATCGAAAAATTGTAAAATCGAGAAATCGAAAAATTGAAGAATCAAGAACTGAAAAATCCGAAAACTGAATTATCAATAAATTGAAAAATCGAAAGCCGAAAAATCGAGAAATCGAAAAAACATTCTAATATTTACAATTTTGATTTTTTTCCCCAAAAATCTCAGCCGAGAATTCGAAAAACCGAAAAATTGAAAAATTTTAAAAATCAATAAATCGAAAAATCGGGGAATTGAACAACTGACAAAGTTTAAAATCCAGAAATCGTAAAAATCTAAAAATCAAAAAATTTTAAAAATCCATAAATTAAAAATTCGAAATATTAAAAATCAACCCGAAAAATTGAATAATTGATAATTGAAAAATAGAAAAATCGAAAAATTGTAAAATCGAGAAATCGAAAAATGAAATAATCACTATAAAAATATAGTATCTAGCTATGTTGTAGGTGAAATTTTGCTTATTTAAAATGAATAAAAATATATGATCGGAAAAAATATCGTCTAGTCAACCATGGAATTAAAAAACTGTAGTGACACACTGTTTTTCATCAAAGCTACCTGTCAGTTTGACAGTTGTGTTGTCAGAGTAATAAAAAGAGTGCTTGAAACAGAACATAAAATTTCTATTGTCGAAAACTATTCCCGAAATGATAAATAATGTCTTTAAAAAATATTATTTCGTGTAACCATTTCTTGAAAGAAATTATTTCACCATTTTTAACAAAAAAATTATACTTTCTCTAATTAACCTCAAAGTGTTTTTGGACCTTCTCCCAGGATTAGCTATCTGGGTTTTTGCAAAAGGCGTCGGAACACGCATTATTATGAAAAAATAAATGGAGTTGTGCAAAAAACTCCGAAAGAGGATAATATATCTTATTTCAAATCTGTTCTTGCTTTGTTATTCTGTTTGGTTATCAACATGTTCGCGGAGTTTCATTTAGAATATATTATTTCATGCAGCAGTTTCATAAAAATGTGGAAATAAATATCTTAGAACGGATTTATTATCCCGGCGCATCCACCATTTTAGTTGTTTAATTTCGATAGCTTTAAATTTGCGAATTTTTGGACTTTTATCTAAAGGAATTATGAAAGCTAACAGTTCTCGGATAGGAATATATCCGCTGTCGTTTATTTTGATAACTCGCTCGTTGTTTTGGGTATTAATTTTTGTATTTTTTAACTTTCAGCATTTTTAAGCCTGAGCTATTCTGAATTTGTTCCATGTTTTTATTTATCGAAATCATGTCATTTAGTATGGTGTCAGATTTATTTAAAGGGATTAATAATAATCGTGAAATGGAATGGGGATTCGAGCAGTGGGGCATCTGGTGTAACATAAAATACAATATAAAATAATTTGTTTCAACGTTAAATCGATATCAAAACTTGTATACGAGCACAACATTGCAATATCGCTTGGAAAATGTAATGGCTTGAATTAACTCTAAAACCGTTATCGAAACCTCCAGTTATATTTTTTTCTACTAGTTACATTTTTTTCAAATTTCTTTATGTGTGTAAGCAAATTGTAGAGAATTTAGTCTAAAATCCAATTTTTTTATTTAAATGTTTGCTTTTCATTTGACTCTGTTTTAAAACACCAGTCTTTTCCGGGATTACTCCAGTCCTTCGCACTCCTTTGTTCCGTCCACTCCAGCAATCAAGCCATTACAAAAATTTATAAAACTGTCTAAATCTCCTCAATGCATGTACGAACGTAAACATTTAAGCGCATTATCCGATTACCCATTGTTCCTGTAATCCCTCCAGCCTTTTTATTTTTATTTTCCCTGCAGGACACTCGTGAAAAGCACAATTCACCCCGAATCCTCGAAAAATTCGCCATTTTCCGGTATCATCCACGAAGACGCCCGTATTAATCTCCCGGAATTATTATCTCGCTGTTTATTCCGCGTTGACACTAATAAATAAGAATAAAAGAGGGTTTAACGTTGAGTAGACCAAATTACATCGCGTCCTATCTTTAAATGAAATCTGCTCTCATTTTTTTCGCGATATCATCTCGTAATTCGCCCGTTCCAGGTATGGAGGCATCCGTGGAGGAGGTCCTACCACAAGCGCAGGAAAGCCCAGTGGGAGACGGAGGACAATTATTGCTCCCTGGTTAGGGAGATCCCGCCGTACGACCAGGGGAGGCGGCTTTACGATCTCATGGATATGGCCGTGTTAGATTTCTTAATGGGTAATATGGATAGACATCATTATGAGACATTTAGGTTAGTTTGTTGGGGATGAAGCGGTCCAAGGGCTAATCGAGGGGTGTGTTGCAGACTGTTCGGGAACGACACGTTCCCGCTGCATCTGGACCATGGGCGGGGGTTCGGGAGGCCGTTCCACGACGAACTGTCCATTTTGGCGCCCATTCTGCAGTGCTGTATGCTGAGGCAGTCGACACTGCAGACGCTGATGGCGTAAGTACCATTTACCAACCTTGTAGAGTCCCTACAACCTACGATATAGTGCGGGGTCTTTCAAAACCAGTACTATTTTTTTAATGCAAAAATGCAATTCTTACCTCAAAAATTGAGGTAAACATCTTAACCAATACGTTATTACAACAATATAACAATATGTGTTAAATATTTCTATGTTTCGGCTCTTAATTTATTGTAATATATAGGAACCCTAGTCCTTGAACTTGCCACATTCTTAGCGAAAATGACAGAAAATTGTTGAGTTATTCGCCATAAAAATTCAGTGACAAAAATATACTCCTTGGACTACAATTGTATGAAAAATGAAACGCTTACCTCAGAAAAGAAGGAAAACAACGTAACCTATTTTAGATGAACACAGACGTATGTGTTGTTATGATAAATTTAATCCCAGAAACAATATTTTGACTTATTTTAGCCGCTTATTTTCACGAATTTTTCTATTTCATTAAAAAAAAAGTATCCTATGTTGTGATCAATGTATTATACATATGATCTATAAATATTTTCGTCGTTTGGCCTAATGAGAATGAATTAATAGAAACATTGGAACTCGATCTAAGATTAACATATTTTAATCTTAAGAAGATTTTTATTAGTATAAAAAAAGTTGGTCTAAACTTATTTAGACAGAACTTCTCTCGCCCCTGACGTCATCAGTCTTTTAGCAATGACCAAAAAGGGTAATAAAAAAGTGGATAAAGGGGAGGGACCAAAAACGCGATAAAAATTGGGCAGATACAAAAAACGTCACACAAAAATATCCAGAAAAAGGGGAATATAAAGAGGAGACAAAAATAAGCTACAAAAAAACGAAAAAAAGGGGTTAAAAACGCAACTTCTAAAAAGACTACAAAAAATGTTATCAAAATATGACGACATAAAACGGGACAAAATGAAGATTTAAACTTGGTAGAAATACGTGACAAGCGCTAAAAAATAGGTAACAATAAAGCCACCCAAAAAAATGCTATTAAAAAAAGGCAAAAAAGAAAAACAAGCCACAAAAGACGGAAATATGTGATAAAAGGTGGTACAGAAAATGACGACAAAAAACGGACAGAATCCAGGCGAAAAAATACGCTAAATATAAGCTTTTTCAGTTTTTTGTAGCCTTTTTTCAATTATTGACCCCTTTTTTATCGTCTATTTTTGTCCCGCGTTTTATAATTTTTTTCGCCTTCAGTTTTTCCCATTTTTTGTCGCAATTTTTGTAGCTTCTTTATGTCTTTTTTTTTTGTTTTGTCGCCAATTTTCCTCTGTTTTTCCCCGTGTTTCGCCTTTTTTAAAGAATCTTTCTGTGGTGTTTTGTTACCTCATTTTTTGTTGCCCTTGTGAAGTTTTTAACGCGTTTTTTCTCATCGCCCCTTTTTATGATGTTCTTAGTTTCTTTTTTTTATTGCGCTTTTGGTCCCGTCTTTTTATAATCTTTTTTGTCGTCGATTTTGTGTCCCTTTTTTTTCGTCTTTTTCACCATTAATTCTCTTTTGTCTATGTTTTGCTTTTTTTATAGCTTTTTTTGTGGCGTTCTTGAATCATTTTTTTTGTCATCCATTTTGTGTCCCCTTTTTTTCGTTTTTTTTTCACCTTCCATTTTTTGACGTCGTCTTTTGTGGTTTTTATTGAGACATGTTTTTCTCCATCTTGCCGCAATTTTTTTGGCCCTTTTGACGCTTTTTGTTGCGTTTTTGCCTCTTTTTTATTCCCTTCTCGTTTTTTTAGAAGTTTTTGTGGCGTTTTTTGGCGTTCTTTTGTCACCCCATTTTTGTTTTCTTTTTTGCCTTTTTTGGTCTCATTCTTCTGTCCAGTTTTTATGGTGTTTTTAGCCCTCTGCTCCCTCTTATCGTTTTTTAGTCTGTTTTTTTTCGTGGTTTAACCCCGTTTTGATTATTTTGTTGTTACCTTTATTTTCCTTTTTGGGATCCAATTTTCGTTCCCTTTTTAATTTTCTTTTGTCAATTTTTTGCCTTTTTTATCGCTTTTTTCTGGTGTTTTTTGTCCCCCCCCTTTTTATCTTTTTTTGTGGTGTTTTTGTCCCCTTTTTTATCGTCTTTTTTCACCTTTAATTCATCCCTCTTTTCTCGCAATTTCTGTGGCCTTTCTTTACCACCTTTTCGTCATCTTTTTGGCTTTTTTTACGTATTTGTGATGGTTTTTCTTACCTTTTTTGTCGCTTTTTTTTTCTTAGCTTCCTTCCCACTTTGTCTCTGTAAAAATTAGTCTAAAAAAATCTCCTTTTTTGTTGTACTTTTGCCTCCGTTTTATTTGTTTTTTCACCTTTGTTTTCTTCTTTTGTGGCCCGATTTTTGTTTCCTTTTTGATTTTCTTTTGTCGATTTTTTCATCCATTTTTAAACCTCCCTTTTTTTCGTCTTTTTCACGCTTAATTCATTCCTCTGTCACAATTTTCGTAGCTTCTTTTTGACGGTTTTTGTTGCGTTTTGAGCATCTTTTTTTATCACCCTTTCGTCATCCTTTTCGCTTTTCTGTTATTTTTTTTGCGGTATTTTTTGTTACCTTTTTTGTGATACTTTTTTATCCAGTTTTTATCGTTTCTTAAGTCCCACTTGTCTCATTTGTTAGTTCCTTCTTTTGTCGCACTTTTTATCGGCTTTTTGTGACCTTTGTTTCCCTTTCTATGTGGCCCAACTTTTGTGCTTACGTCGTTTTCGTAACTCTTTTTTGATTTTTTTTCCCTCTTTTGTCGCAATTTCTTTTGACTCCTGTTGACGCTCTTTTGCATTTTTAGACCCCTGTTATCACCTTTTTGGCATCTTTTTCGCTTATTTTTGTCCCTTTTTCAATTCTCTTTTCGTTTTTTTAGCATTTTTTGGTGGCGTGTTTTGTTTTGTTGTGTTATTTTCACTTCTTTTTATGTTACCCGTTTTTTCTCATTCTTCTGTTCAGTTTTTATCGCGCTTTTGCCCCTTCCCCCATTTCTTTCGTTTTTTAGTCTCCGTTTTTGTTGCGCTTTTGACCCCCTTGTAATCGACTTTTTGTCACCTTTATTTTCCTTTTTTGTCTCCCAATGTTTGTTCCTTTTTAATTCTCTTTTATCGATTTTTTACCTTTTTTATCGCTTTTTCTCTAGCGTTCTTGGCCTCTTTTTTACCATCCATTTTGTGTCCTTTTTTTTACCGTTTTTTTTTTCTCCTCCTTTTATCGCAATTTTTGTGGCCTCTTTTGACACTTTTTGGTGCGTTTTTGACCCCATTTTTTCACCTTTTCGATTCTCTTTTTGCTTCTTTAGCAATTTTTTAAGGCGTTTTTTGTCGATTCTTTGGTCACATCTTTTTTGGCGTTTTTCTTTCATTCTTATGTCCAGTTTTATGACATTTTTAGCCCCCTTCTCTATTCGTCTCGTTTTTGCTTTTGCCCCCATTTTGATTAGTTTTTTTGTCACCTCCTGTTTTTGTGGCCCAATTTTTGTCCCCTTTTAATTTTCTTTGTCGTTTTTTGCCACTTTTATCGTCTTTTTCCACCTTTAATTCATTCCTCTTTTGTTGTAATTTTTGTGGCCTCTTTTTGACGCTGTTTGTTGCGTTTTTGGTGTTTTTTTTTATCTCCTTTTCGTCCTCTTTTTGGCTTTTTTGCCATTTGTGGTGTTTTTCTTAACTTCTTCTCGTTTGTTAGCCCCCTTTTATGTCCCAATTTTGCTTCTATGTCGCCCAGTTTTTGTTGCTTGCCCTTGTTGTGACTTTTTTCCCCCTCTACAATCGCAATTTTTATGGCCTGCTCTGACGCTTTTTTATTGCTTTTTTTGTGGCGTTCTTGAATCATTTTTTTTGACATTCATTTTGTGTCCCCTTTTTTTTCGTTTTTTTTTTCACCTTCCATTTTTTGACGTCGTCTTTTGTAGTTTTTTTTGTGACATGTTTTTCTCCCTCTTGTCGCAATTTTTTTGGCCTTTTTGACGCTTTTTGTTGCGTTTTTGCCTCGTTTTTATTCCCTTTTCGCTTTTTTATAAGTTTTTTTGGCGTTTTTTTGTCACTCCTTTTTGTTACCTTTTTTTGCCTTTTTTGGTCTCATTCTTCTGTTCAATTTTTATGGTGTTCTTAGCCCCTGCTCCCTCTGTGTCGTTTTTTAGTCTCTTTTTTTTCGTGTTTTGACCCCGTTTTGATTATTTTGTTGTCAACTTTATTTTCCTTTTTGGCATCCAATTTTTGTCCCCTTTGTAACTCTTTTTTGATTTTTTTCCCTCTTGTTGCAATCTCGATTGACTCCTGTTGACGCTCTTTTGCATTTTTAGACCCCTTTTATCACCTTTTTGTCATATTTTTGGCTTATTTTTCTCCCTTTTTCAATTCTCTTTTCACTTTTTTAGCATTTTTTAGTGGCGTGTTTTTTTTTTGTTATGTTATTATCACTTCTTTTTATGTCACCCGTTTTTTCTCATTCTTCTGTTCAGTTTTTATCGCGCTTTTGCCACTCCCCCCATTTCTTTCGTTTTTTAGTCTCCGTTTTTGTTGCGCTTTTGACCACGTTTTAATCGACTTTTTTAAAACGTGGTCAAAAGCGCAACAAAAACGGAGACTAAAAAACGAAAGAAATGGGGGGAGGGGCAAAAGCGCGATAAAAACTGAACAGATTCCGTTTTTGCTTCTTTAGCAATTTTTTGAGGCGTTTTTTGCCGATTCTTTGGTCACGTTTTTTTTTTTTGTTATCCTTTTTGTCCCCTTTTTAATTTTCTTTTGGCAATTTTTTGCCTTTTTTATCGCTTTTTTGTGGTGTTTTTGTCCCCCTTTTTCATCGTATTTTTTCACCTTTAATTCATCCCTCTTTTCTCGCAATTTCTGTGGCCTTCCTTTATCACCTTTTCGTCATATTTTTCGTTTTTTTTAACCCATTTGTGATGGTTTTTCTCACCATTTTTTGTCGCCCTTTTTTTTTGGCGTTGTTTGTCTCATTCTTCTGTTCACTTTTTATGGCATTCTTAGCTTCCTCCCCACTTTGTCTCTCTAAAAATGTGGCTAAAGT